AAGGTGAGCAAGACTGAAACCCAGATTCAGAGGCCTTACCATCAGCGGTACGCGGGATTCGAACCCACAACCACGAGCGCCGAGTCAATTCGACAGTTACAGTGACCCTGCCACCAAAGCTACCCAGCCAACGGAGGTGAGCCGTGTTCCAATTCTACTTGAACTTCAGGTCGGCCCTGAGGCCTTGCGCTAACACTAAGCGGAAAGCGAAAAATGTTGCCGAGCCTGGAGTCGAACTGTCGACCTGCGACGCTCTGGGCGGGTGCTCTATCGGCCTGCCGAAATGGGGCTTTCTCGGGGCGCCCGGAGCGCAGGGCCGCGCGCCCTGCCAATGGGCTTGCCTGGAAACCTGTGAGTCTAAGTGCCGACCTGGAGTGTGGTCCGGTGGCGCAGGCGGTTGGATGCCGGCTCATGCAACAACTCGACTGATTGTCGTGGGTTCGACTCTTGATTTTATGGGGTATTATTTTCACTTTTTTTATTTTTTACCCCAGGGGATGGAGACTAGCCAGGAATGTTCGGCTTACGAATATGAAGTGCCCTGCAAAGCCAGGTCGCTGTAAGCTGAATAGTTTTCGAGAAATCGGTGTTCTACGAATTTGCCCTTAAAACCCTACTTTGAAACGATATAAAACTGGTTTCCCGGTGCATGAGGTGATCGCCCACCTCAGGATCCGTTCAGTTTTACTAGAGTAATCTACAGCCGAAATCTGGACGCTGTAGCTCCAATAGGTCCAGAGCTAGGGCCGATTTGCGTTGAAATTTCTGTCACGGAGCGGCCGAACGGGGGCACTTCGGTTTCCCCGGGCCGGAGGCACGGGCGCCTCGCCGTTTGACGGGTCTGCGAAGCCATGCCTCTCATATCGGTGTCTGATAGCACCGTTGTGCGGTTCGATAGCTCAGGAAGTTCCGTGCTGGATCGCGGCTTGTTTCGGCTTTCCGTGTCCTACGTTCGACTTTTGACTTTTGGGGGTATTTTTTATTTTCTTATTTTTTACCCCATGGGATAGGAACTATCAGGGAATGTTCTGGTTTCTGGTTTCCCGATGCGCGAGGTGATTGCCCACTTCAGGATCTGTTCAGTTTTACTAGAGTAATCCACAGGCGAAGTCGGGGCTCCAATAGAACCAGAGTTAGAGCTGATTTACGTAAAACTTGTGTCACGGAGCGGCGGAAAGGGGATTTTCAAGCTCTCCGGGCCTAGCTGCGCATTTACCTATCCCGTTTACGGCATTTACAGCATTTAATGCGCATTTAGTGCGCATTACGCGCATTTAATGCGTCATCAATGTGTGACCTTTAATGTGCATTTCAATGCGCATTGAAGCGCATTTAATGCAGTGGCGCTTCTGAGCCGCAGTATCAAAAACGATATGGGCGGTGCAATTGTCTCATTTCGCTTCTAAATAGTGGAAATTTTACTCTTTGAATATCACATCAACAGAATTTGTACTACCCCTGAACACCCTAAAAATCGGGTTCGAAATAGGCCCCTGGTCGCCTGCAGACTCCCAAATAGGCAACTTGCCCGCACGACTGCAAGCAGTAATGAAGGAAGGGGTCTATGCACCACCTTGTATAGTGATGTTAAAGTGAGGTGTCATCTGCCTTTTATTTTATTTTTAAAAAATGTGGTGGTAGTTCCCTGGTCCCTGTTCCGAGTAAAACGGGGGAAATGCCAGACAAACTTTCTCATACGCGTGCTCCAAAATAATTGCCTAGCCTCATAGGAAGCCCCATTTGATGCTAATCTGATTGAGAGAATGTGGATTGCTTTTGCCATTGCTGTTTGTGATCAGACAGACAGATCAGTGGATGTGTCGTGATTGTAAACATACAGCAGAAAGCAGAAGCATTCTCAGTTGTGGCGAAAGTGTGTTGGGGATTCGGTGACGATACGTGAATTTTTTCTGGTTATTTTCATCCTCCTTTAGAATTTTTTGACATAATTTAAAGAAGCTGATTCGCAAATGAATGTCCGCTTTCGATCGGCAGAAACAAGCGGCTTGTCGTGTAGGTATTGTTTGGACATTACTTTTTGGGGGTATTCACCTCTCTCAACTCATAACTTTTTCTCCTTTGGGAGGATAGGTTTTGTCCCCGTGATAAAAAAATGTAGAGAACACACTTATCCTGAGTACATATAGATACGTACTGTGAATGTTCACGTGAAACGACGTTATATTGGCTCTGCTTTTGTGTACCCAAATTAGGCTCTCTATGTGGTACTACTGTTGATTTTCCTTGGGAGAAGTTGTTGCAAAGGAAAATAAATTGGGTAGGATATCATTCAATTTGTACTTTTGCTTGGGAGAATTCTTTGACTGCTGTAATGTGGAGTAGAATTTTCATCACTTCTACAAATTTAACAAAAGTGTCAATTCTGATAATCTAATACTATTACTGTAAGTTCTATATTTTTCCCTTACAATCAGCTTTTATGAAGCTATTAAACTGAATTGTGTTTCATTACCATCTTAATTTTCTTCTCAAATTTCCTTTTTTTATTTCTTGTAGGTACCAGAAATGGCTTTAAGTCATTCTGACATCCATCATGATTCTGACCTTGATACAATTCAAGATGAATATGAAAGAGTTCGTGGTGAATTTGAGAGACTCGGCTTCCCAGCTAGGCTCCCCATCTCAATCGCAGATTCTGGTGAAAGTGAGTCGTGGGATATGATGCAAGATGTTGAGCTGGAGGAATTTGATTTTGGACCCTCCTCACCACCTGTAAGAACCCTTTGTCATTTGAATATCCTCCTTGGTTTTAAAATATCTTATTTTAATAACATAATTTTGGCTGTTTCAGACTGATTTGAGTGAAGGAGAGCTAGAAGAAGTCATGTTGAATGGAGGCATATTTAATTGGCAGCAACCCAGTATTAGCAATGACATTATGGCTCTTGAAGATGAAAGTGAAAGTAGTGAAATTGATGATGAACTCATGGCCTCCCGATCAGAGTCATCATTATCTGGGGACAGTGACGGAAGTCCGAGCACAATTTCCCCCTCTGCCTTGAGTCCAGTGTATCGTGACAGCCCTGATAGTATGGGAAGGTCAGATTGTGAAAATCATCCCATTAGTCCTTGCCATTCTCCCTGTTATTCAAGACCTGGAAGCCCTTGGCCAATGTTTGCTCGACCATCCTTCAAGAAAACTAGAAGTCCATTCTGGACTACTTTTCGTGTGCGAGAATTTCGCTGACTAAGAAGTTCTAGTTTCTCACATACTACTCACTATTTTCTTGTTTGGATCTCAGATGCATTTCGTAAACATAAAACCCATATCCTATTACTGAAATGTAAAATTAAATCAAGCAGACTATTATTATTTTTTTATTTTTTTTTCATATCAAATACATTCGAGGATACTTGTAGTTGTAAAATATAATGTCATGCTTTTGTTGTAGAAAGGTAATGGAAAATGAATTCTTTTTTGCCGTCTGTGTGCACGCACACTAAAGGTGGCCCTCCAATAAAACCTGGAACCCATCATCCATCACCCATCATTTCAGATTGTGCTGTTATTGATGCAGCCCAAGTTTTGCTAAATGTACTTTGGAAGTATAGTATTAATGCAATAAATGCATTTTCACAAATTATGAACATGTTTGAGTGACCATATACAGGTCTAATCATCAATAATTGGTTCTTATGGTTCCCTCATGGAGGCAACCACCTGCAAAATTTGTGAAAATCTATTTATTGCATTACTTAACTTCCATCTTACATTTAGCAAACTTGGGCTGCATCTATTGTAGCAAAATATGAAATGATGGGTCATGTGTTCCAAGTTTCATTGGAGGGCCACCTTAATTTTGTATTAAAATTGTAGATTCATCATTACTTTCTGTAATGATCTGCATACAATCCTTCATCTTTTCAATCTGATAAGCTTTGCAAAAAAATTAGAAGAGTATTTTTGTGCAGAAGAGGGAGAAATGTTTAACTCAAAAAAGTGTGTTTTTATGAATGATGTGAAATACTAGTCATTATGAGTTTATTTCATTGGTAAAATGCTTAGGTATTTCTCTAAGATCATTGTATTTCTTTTTATTGTTTATTAGTTTAGAACACGTTTTTTTCATACATGTTTTCATATTGCTTCATATCTTTGCATTATTGTGACATAATATTGGTACTTACGTGGAGTAAAAGTAGTATCATGACGTGTTGAACCTTAGGTTGGACACTTGTGTTTTGAGCTACGGTTACATGGAGGGACTCTTCAAAATTTAATTCATTCCCCTGTTAGCTCTCATGCTAGTGGTTTGTGAGTAAAGTCAACTTTCATTCATTGCAATGTCGATTTTTTGAAAGTTAATTTGAAGTATCTGTAATCTCTACTAAGCGAGAGAGAGAGAGAGAGGGGGGGG